AAAAAAAAAAAAAAAAAATTAAATCGAAGTCAAAATAAAAAAAATTTGTTAATTATAAATATAAATATATTTTTTTAATATATAAATTTATATAAATTTAATTTGTTAAGTATTATAAAACAAGTAATCATTTAATCAAAACTCTTTCCACTAATCTTCTGACCATACACAAAAAATATATTCGCAAGAAGTTTTTATACTTCCTTGCTAATAAAGTCTTATTACTCTCTTTAAACCAACTCAAAAGTTCCTTCAGAACTCACTCACTTTCCCTCCCTTTTGTTTACAACCTCCTTTGAATAAAACTGAACTCTTGTGACCTGCAAAGTTCAGCTCTCATCTTTACTACTAATGGCAAAAAAGTTCTTAAAGGAAAAAAACTAACTGTGGAGTACCTCTCACCTCTCAGCTATGTAGAGATAACAGAAATTTTATTCCAGTCAAAGGACTTATTTTTCTACCTTTCGACTGGGATTGTGATCTCTTAGAGCTACCTTTTTCATAGCTTTCTGAGGAATTTTGCCTAACCCAGCTTGATCCTGAAATTTAGGGTAGCACGAATCTCACTAATTCTGATTGGATGACATGAAACATGTTAAACATGATTGATAAACAAGCTCCTATTGACCACTTCACATGTCTGAATGCATTTTCTCAGCTCCATAAGAACCTGGGGTCCACCATAAGTTATATGGTCTGGTGTGAGTGGATACAGAACAAGACCCTAACATATTATTGGATATAAGAAAGAGACCGTTCAATCACAGCAAAGGTCATAAGATGCTTGATTGTTTCTTTTTAAAAATCAAAACCACCTATTCCTGATTGTATATCAGGTAGGTTTTCACTTCTACTGCTTGGAAAAGTCCAACTGGAAAAAGTGAAGAAGATGATCAGAACACTCAGTGGTAAAGCTAGTGTGCATAGTAAATCAGGAAGTTTTCATTCTATCTCCAAAAAATCTCAAGTTGGAAGACTGAAAAGTTAACACCACCACACCAATCGAAACTCGAGTCAGAAAATGTCCGCAGTGACGTGTGAGCTGGCCGGATAATCTGGGAGATCCTTGATAATCGCTAATACCAATGGTCACCAGCAGGGTACGCCAACTGTGAGGCTAGGTGCAGTCCTTCTATAAGAAATTAAATCTGAAATACATTACACAGATGAGTAAGTATACCCATATTCAGATAGGAATGGATTTAATTAATGATATACTGAAAGACTTTCAAGTTATTTATGCAGACACCAATATACTACCTGAACCTTCCTGATTACTCCTTCTCCACAAGTCTTAAAACTGTAAAGTTTTCTTCTTTATCTCTATCTTATTTTCATAAAAACTCAGTAGAAGCTTCCCCAGATCTTCATTAAAAGGAGAATTTAAAACAGAATGAATATTGCTGAGAAATACTATAGTTTATCATTTTAAAATAGCACATGACTGCTCCTTCCTTTTTTCTTTTAATTTTTTTTATTAATACCCGCACACTCAGTAGGATGTAGATTTCTTTTGTAAAAAAGAGGATAATCAGTCTCGAAATAGCATTAGCTTATCGAATTCTTTATTTACCTCCAGATATACATCCCTGTACATATGCCTTGCGCCATTGTATAAAATGTAATTTGGAAATTAATAAAGATTAGGTATAAGCCCGTTAAAATAAAAGAAAAAAAAATTTATATGTTTTAATAATATTAATGGTGATTGGAAAAAAAGTTCTGGAAATTGTTCTTTTTCAAAAGTTATAAGTTTTCAAGGAGGATATTCAAGATATCAAAAATCAAGAAATAGATAATATGGATTATAAAACTCCAATAAGAATATTTTTTTAATTCAATATTTATATTTTTAGATTTTTTTAAACTATCTCAATCCAATATTTATCTAAATAATAAATTTAATTAAATTGACTTGTTCAATACTATCGGTAATAAAAAAAAAAAATATTTTTCGAAGTTCAAATAGAAGCAAAAAAAAATTTTTTTCAATTAGACAAATTCTTTTTAAAACTTTTCAATAAAACCATATGGCATAATTGTGAATTTTTTTTTTTTTAAAAAAAAAAAAAAAACAACAACAATAATAATAATAATAATAAAGAATTATGACTAGTTTTTTTATAGTTACCTTTTTCTTTAAGAACCTATCTTTAATTATATGAAATCAATATAATATTGAAGATATTTTATTAATTTCTCAATAAAGATGCACTATACCTTAATAATATGATCACGAATTTTTTTAAAAAAAATTCGACTTAATTCTGCCTTCAAAATTAATTTCAATTTGATTTTGCTCACTAGTCATATGAGATACATTTAGAGAATTTCACAATAAAGAGTGCATTGAGAGAGGGTGTGCATTTAGGTTCTCTGTAATTATAACTATATCTTCTTTTAGAAATATTTATATACAGTATTTACAAGAATAACACGTGAAGTTAAATATGTAATATAATTGATACAACAAAAAAATTTCGAGACACAAGATGAAAGAACTCTACACCGAGACCTCTCAATACCGTAATTGGAATTTCACAAGGGAGAAGCTACGAGAAACTCGTGAAATTAATCATAAACTGGCCGTAGAAAGAGTGAAGAAAAAGATAGTAGAGGAATCAGTGAGTATCTCGTCGTCTGTTTATTCTGTACGCGAATTAATAATAAATTTCTGAAATTTATTAACTTGATTTTGATAAGATTTTACAAAAGCAACTTTCAGACACTTCACCTTCACACAGAGAGCAGTCGGAACGCGTAAATTCCCCGAAGCCAGAGGTGGAGTGCCTAACCTTGGAAGACGAATTGGCTTTATGCAAATTTTATGAAAATCAGATACTTGCGATGATCAATCAGTTTGCTAATGAAATTCGAGATACTAAATTCACCGATAAAGTTTGGGTAATTATGCCTTGTTACTTTTATGTTCATTTTTTTTTTAAATCAATATTCGTTTTATTTGATCGAATATCACCGACGGCTTTATTATTTACAGGCGACAGCAGTTATCTTCGTCAAAAGGTTTTACTTGCGAAACAC